ACCCCCCGCCCCCCATCCCCTGCCGCCAGGGAAGCTGGACACAGATTCGGCCCATGAGACACTCATAAACCAAGACAGACATGGTGAAAGTGTAGTCGCATGAGAGTCAGGACACGTGAAATTGGTGTAGGGCTGACCTTAGCATGGAGAGGGTATAGCATAGAAAGAAGTGATATCATTGGAGAAAATACATGGGGATGGGGACTGGAAAGTTGCTGGTTGCCTCTGGCCAAATCTAGGCACTCTGAAGACTTTTGCAAAGCATGACAAAGAAGTAGGCGGACATCTACATGGAAAAGGATGGGAGCTGACGATCTTCTTGTGGATGTGACTTTGGGTTTTTCCTTCTCCATAGAAACCCAAAGAATGAGAAAATTCTCTAAGACATTCAACTGCCTGTATGAGAACCCTGGATGGATGTGGTCATCCCTTGCTCCTAAGAGACTCTGTAATGCAGATGTGTAGATAGTGTGAGTGGGGATAAAACAAAGTTAACATGCACAAACCAAGGAGTGAAAGGTGGGGTATTTACCGTCCAAGTTAGTGGCATTCTTACAGTCCTCCCTGACACACATCTGGTTTAGATTTCCCATGAAGAGCTGCTGACCAACAAGGGCGAAGATACTTAGGCAAAAAAGAGTCAGGATCATCACGTCAACAAGCTTCTTCACAGAGCGCAGCAAGGCCCCCACGATGACCTTCAGACCTGAGGAGGACAGGGGTAGAGAGAAGCCCTCACTCACACGCACACACCAGACACAGGCAACGGGCAGACACAGAAGAGAGCAACCAGGGCCTCGGAAGCTGTCTGATAGCAGGCTGGAGCTGGAAACTGGCCAGGCCTATGATTCCGATGCCATGAGCTCTAGTTCCAACTCCACGCCCTACGTGTCGTGTGTCATCGAAGTTGTCGACATGTCGAGGACTCAGCCTCCTCATTTGCTGCCCTACGCGCACCACAGAGTTGCTCTGAAGAGCAAATGAGAAGACTTTGAGCAGAAACATGCCACGCAAGGAGTAACTCAATGACAGCTGTGCAGGCACCTCCACAGCTGGGGATCACATGTATGAGTAAGGCCCCCTTAGAAAAGGAGCCAGAGCTATATTCAACATTTAGTAGTCACTACCTATTATGAGGTACTAACCTGGGGGCAAGAAGCTGGAAGGGGGAGCTCTGTATGCACTCAAATAATGAGGATGTCCTAAACGAAAACAATTCAGATTACAAGTAACAATAGGGTGTTTTTCATTCATTCAAGAAATATTTGTTACTGTGTTTATGGCACATTGTTCTGATGCCAAAGTTACAAAATAAGAAGAACATAATCTTGTAGTGTGCTGACAAACATTTAAAATCCGCTGGGGGTGGGGGTGAGGGTGTAGAAAAGTCTTCATTTGTAGCATTTAGAGATTCCCTTGTTTAGAGATTCTCTGTAGTGTAGATTCCTCTTTTCCCTCCATATACCCTTTCTTCCCCAGCTGGTTTCCAACTACCAACATGACGTCCCTGAATGCAGAGCTGGAAAAAGATGTGGACAATCTGCTGGGGAGCCAGAACACGTCAGCCCCAGCACACCGCTGACTCATGGGACCTGCTCTCAACACAGCCGGAGAGAGAAGCAACCAGATGTGCATTGCAATGCACGTGATGGCACTAGGTGATGAAGTTGTAATTGATTAGTGCGAACCATCATTAGTAGACTTCAGAACACAAGGCGGCAGCAGCCCTCAGAGGATGACCTTCCCACAAAGTGTGATGCCACATGGGGACATGGGGAGGAGCCTTGAGGACAAGCTAGGACATTTACTATGTCCCCAATTGCAGCCAAACAAAAAATTACTATAACCTCATCCAAGCCTGTGTTTAATCTATAAGAAGCTTGAGTCTTCTCCAAAGGCAGAAGATTTAGATGAGAGAAGATGGTTGTGATTTGTAAATGACTTTTATATAGTCCCATGAAAGACCGTACCTCACACCCTTATTTTCAAAAAGCATCCAGGGATCTGACGGGTTCATGAGTCAAAATGGAGACAATGTTCACCTGCTTAGAGATGGAGGAGGAGACACTAAAGCTATTGAGTGACTGCCTGAGCGTATATTTTACATGAATGAAAATATGAGGGACTCAGCTCATGCAGGAAGCCCCTAAGTCATCCTGGGAAACCAAGGTCCACCTTGCAATAGAGGAGGAGAAGGAAGAGGGGGGACAAATTCTATATAAGTGTCCTCTGACTAACAGTTTCTCTATCACTATGTAGTTGTTTTTCTGGAGTTTTAAAAAATAACCTACTGCTCTGTTTGAAAAGATCTAAATTGCCTATAGTTTTGATTTTGCAGCTAAGCCATTGATAGAAGAGACTAAAAGGGAAGGGAAAAGGAGAAAGGGGGAAGGACTTCAGGGAGGGAATATTTTTAATAAATACTTTTTTTGTAAAGGAAAGAGGAAGGAAAAAGAAGAGTGTGCCATAATAACCTAACTTCTTATGAACTAGAATTCATATTCGCAACCCTCCTTGGCTTCATCCTGATCTACAGAGCATCTTCCTTACCTGGCTTCCAGGAGACCGACTTTGTCTTCCCTCCTACTTTACTGATGGCCCCTGTTCATCTCCTTTCCTGGTTTCTCCTCTTCTCCCCTCCCCTTTAAGGTGGCAGTGCCCCAGGACTCAGACCTTCATCCTCTTCTATTCTCCATCTATGTTCATTCTCTTGGTGATCTTAGCAGATTTCATGGCTCTCAATATCATTTATAGGCTCATGATTTCCAAAATTACATCTGCTCCCCAGAACTCCAAAATACATAATTGCCTACTTGAAACTTTCCCTTGGATGTCTCACAGTCATCTTGAACAGAACGTGTCCACAGCCAGCCCCTAATTGGACACCAAGATCTGCTCCTCTCACAGCCCTCCCTGTCTCAGTCAATGACAACTTCATTTTTCCAGTCACTCAGGCCCCAAACTGCCACTCTTTTCTTTTGTTCACACCATGTATATAATCAACCTATCAGGAGATCCTACTATTTCCACCTTCAGATTTATTCAGAATCTGACCACTGTCCACCAACACCTCTGTCAATCACCACCTAATCTGAGAATACCACCATCTCTTGCTTAGATTATGGCAGTGGCCTCTTACGTCAGTTTGAGATTTGTTGGGTGAAATGCCTGTGAAGAATAAGGGGGAGGAAGCAGTTGGCAGGGAGAGCCTCAGACTGTGACGCGGGGATGACACCTGGGAAAAGAGAGCCGAAAGGAAGCGAGATTGGACAGGAAGAGCCTCAGACAGTAGTGCCGCTGTGACAGTCTCAACAAGATTGCTGGGGAGGCCCTGAGCCAAAGTCTCCCTACAGAGGAGTCACAGTGTGCCCAACGTGCAGGATAAGTGTGATGCTGGCGTGAACATGAATGCAGTGGTGAATCCAGCGAGGTAGCAGCAGGAACTAGGTCGACTATGCTCTCTGCAGCAGGAGATCTGAGTGGCACATTTCCATGGTGACCACCACACCCCCCTCTCTGCACTTCTTATTTCTACCTTTGCTCCCCCACATTCCATTCTCCATACAACAGCCAGAGTAACCCTTTCAAAACCTGTCAGATATGCAACTCCTCTGCTCGAAGCCCTCGCAATGGCTCCCACTTCTCTCAGAGCAAAGCCCAAATCCTCCCAGTGCTTACGAGCCTCCCTGTCACTTCTATGGTCCCCTCCACTACCTGGCTCTTCACTCTGTCTGCTCCAGCCCCATCTGTATCCTCTCTATCCCTCGGTCTTTGAACTGGCTGTCTCTTATTCTCAGAACACCATTTACCATGTATCTGCTTATGAAACAATATCGCTGCCTTCGAATCTGCTCACAATTCACTCACCTTCACAATAACGCCCATCCTGACCACTCTTGAAAAATGGAACCTGTTTCCCCTAATCCCTGTGACCTCCGGTAGCCTTCACATTATTTACTTCTCCTTTTTATTTTTCCATGGCACATGTCACTTTCTAACATGCCAGATAATTTACTTATTTATTATAGTAATCGCTTAGGGTTTGTCTCCCCACCCCACCCTCACCTAAAATGTAAATTCCATGAGGGCAGGGGTCTTTGTTTGCTCACCGATGTATCCCAAGCACCTAGCACAGTGCATGGACAATACATATTTGTTGAACAATCAAATAAAAAGTAAAAACAGAGTTTGTTTTTGGTTTAAATGACATTTGGAGAAATTTAAATATAAAAGAATATTCGCTCCCACAAAGAACCAATGTTGAAAGTGTAACTTACCTGAAACTACTGAAATTGCTTTCAAAGCTCTGAACACTCGGAAGGTACGTAGGGATGACAGACTGATGTCGCTGAGCCTGATGTTTGGTGAACATGATACAAACCTACGAGACAAAGCACAGGAAAAGCCTGGGCTTGCCGGGTCCTGCAGATGCTCTGCACACCTCCACGATGGTACACGTCAGCACAGTCTGAGCCCTGTGTCCACCAAGGTGGAATCTGAGGCCTCCCCTTCCCAGGCCCACCTTTGCTCTCTCATGCTACGGACCACAGACTGTACAGGAGGCTGTCCTCAGCTAATCTTTATATTTGGACAAAGGTGAGGATTCCTTGAAATAGTCCATGAAGTTGTGGCTACATCCATAGATAATATGAATCAATCAAAACATTTATTGACTGGCTACGAAGTTCCAGGCCCCAGTGCACTTCTCTAAGGTCTCACTATGCAGTCAAGCTCAGAGGGAACCCGGGTGATCTGACTCCAGGGCCCACACTTTTCACCACTGCACTATACCGCCTTTTAATAACCAAGAGCCCCCCACTGTTGAACTTCAAGAGTAAACCTCTGGAATTAATTGCATCTACCTCAAAGGGCTTTTGTGAATATTAAATAGGAAAATATATGCAAGTGCTTAAAATAACAGCTAATAAGTAATAAGTAAATAAGTAATGTTAGGTTTATTATTACTGTGCTAGCAATGGGCCATAGCGCTTCTTATTTTGCTGACTCCATCTCATCATTCAGATACCAAATTGATGTTCTTTTCTTAAGAAAGAACTTCAATTCTCACCTCATGTCATATGAAATATACACAATAATGAACTCGAAATAAACCATGGACTTAACCATAAGAGTCAAAACTATAAAACTTCTAGAAGACAACATGAGAGAAATTCTTAGTGACCCTGCAGTACCTAAAGATTTTGTAGACTCCTTGGTTCCACTTAACACAGCTTGATACATACGCAGCTCCTACCCTAGCACTCACCCTACCAGACTGTAATGGTCATTTTTTTCTGTTCTTGTCTGGACTATGAGCTTCAATAGGGTGAGAACAATGTCTGTTTTTTGTTTGTTTGTTTGTTCGTTTGTTTGTTTTCATTATCACAACCCCTTTCTCTTACGCAGACCCTGGCACATAATAGGCCACTGTTTAGTGAGTGAGTGGCTGAAAGAATGAGAGCATGAGAGAATGAGAGGTGGATTTGTGCACAGAAGCCTCAGGCCAGATGGCTTCGTGGTGCTGTTCAGGGCCAACCGACACTGTACCCAGGGCTCTAGGTATCATTAGGTCACACTTAGCCACTCAAGGGGATTCAGGGACCTGATGTAAGCCATGCGGCTTCTTTCCCACCCCAAAGCTCCAATAAAAAACCTTTAGCATTCTTACGCTGTTGCAATGACAATGGAGTCCAGCCAATTCCATGGATCTCGAAGAAAAGAAAACTCATCCAGAATAAAACCGCTTGCTAATATTTTTATCAAAGCTTCAAAAATATAAATACTAGTGAAGACATACCTACAAAGCAAATCATTCAGAACAAGAAGAAACATGATAAGTGATGTGAAAAGCAACAGGCCCATCTGTCTTATCTAGCCTTGCTGAGGTTTTATCCATTTCGATGTGACGTTTAACATTCTAATCTTCGGCAAACCAGAGTTCAGAAAGCCAAGTTCTGGTACTTAGGCTTTCTGAGAAACAGACCCACAGAGTTTCAGTTTTACAAGATGCAGAGTTCTGGAAATGAATGGTGATGGTGATTGCAGAACTATGTGAATGTACTCGATAGTATTGAACTATACACTTAAAAATGGTTAAGATGGTAAATTTTATGTATATTTTACCACGACTTTTTAAAAAACAATTTCCATTTTCTTCAGAGTCCTTCCTCATGTCTATCCTTTATTTTCCTTTTTCCCCTTCCTCTTCTTCCAAAAAAAAAACCCCAAACACACACACACACAAAACCAAAACACAATACCCTATCTCTCTTGTTATAATCTCAAGCTGACAAAAATGCTGGGTCTTTAAGCAAGTGTGCGTGCACGTGCGCACGCGCGCGCACACACACACACACACACACACACACACACACACACACACACACACAGGTTGCACTTTGGGGACCAAAACAATCAACTCAAACAATTTGTTGGTTCAGAGTAAAAGAAGTGGACCTTTTCTGGTAGAATATCCAGCAACTGTTAGCTCTCAAAGCTAAAGAACTAAGGTCTTAAGAATTGGAAAAATCCAAAGCAGCCAAGTCCAAGAAAGGAAATTGTCATGAGGCTGCTTCAGCCTTTTTCTAAGATGATCACCTTTTAGGTGACAGATGAACACAGCAGGTTAATTAATGTCTGCTCTGAAATCCCACTTTTTAAACTCAGGTATAATTTATAAAGTTCTAGGTATTTGGGGAAAAGGCTGTAATTGCCAATTTGTGGGATTTTACAAGTCTTCATTTAGATCTCAAGCAAAAGAGACAGAAGCTGCTGACTGCCATTTTAGCCTGACCACCTCCCACCGTTCTTTCTTTTTCAGCAGAAGCCTGGCCAATGGTGGGACAGGAACCAAGATGACATCTGATATGAAGTAGAGCCATGCCCACCAGTAGAAAGCAGGGCTTAGGATCTCCATGATGGGGAAACCCCAAACCACGAGGCAAATGAGGCTCTCTGGAGTGTGTTGCTGTCAGTTCAGACATAGTTAGGGTATTAGGCAGAGTTATGGTGGTTTCCAAGCAGGTTAACAGAACACCACCACCTGGTCCTAGGGGACTCCTGCATTCATTCTCTGAGAATTATTAACTTGGAATCAATTTCCCTATTTAAAAGTTTTCTAACAAAAGAACACTGAAGGAACTCTCCCCTCCTGGGCTAACCACTCAATTGCATATCTCCTTTAACGAGGACATTTTCAAAAGCCTTTTCTCAGCCCCACTTTCATGCATCCACCACCAGTCTGAATGCCACCAGAGACAGCAGCAGCTGTCCCCACCTCCTACCCCTACCCCCAGGCTCTCTTCTTCCCTAAAGCCTAGACAAGAGTTTTTTCATATCTCTGCCTTATGGGACTTTTAATAGTGAAAATGACCTTGAGCAAATTAGCTTCCAGTTGGGCCACTGATTCCCATTAATGAGAAGAGAGGACTCATTACATCTTGCCAGAAGTGCTGGGCAGGGCAAACCACTGCTCTAAGAGCAATGCCACCTCCCGGATCTGTTTCCTCCACAGGTCTCACTCTTTTGACCACAAAGGCTTCCAGGAACGCTGCTCAATAAACAATGAGCAGTAGTCCCTGCATTCGCATTAGGTCCTCACTTGGAACAGCCAACTCTCCAAGGGGGAGAGCATTTCCCCAGTGATACTGCCAGGATGGTTTCTATTCCCAGGGGTATCCATGCCCCCCAGCTCCAAGGCACAGCTCCTAAGCTGGCTGGCCTTAACCAGATTCCAGGGCCCACCGAGCAACACAGAGGTCACAACCACTAAAAAATAATGCAAAGAAGCTAAAAAGCTAGTAGAGGATTAGAATGAAATACTAAACATACCTGATTAAAAGAAAAGAAGACAGGAAAGGGGTAACAACAAACAGAAAAGCCAAGGAACAACAACAACGACAACAACAGATGAGCTCAATAGAAAACTAGTAGAAAAACAGCAGACCTAAATTCAAGCATATGCAAAATCACATTAAATGCAAGTGAACTTAACATTCCATCAAAAGGCAAAAGACTGGATTGACAGGCTTCATAAAAAAACAAAAAACAACTATATGCTCTTTACCAGAGATACACTAAAAATACAAAAAACACAAAAGGATTGAGAGTAAAGGAATGGAAAAAGATATACCACACAAACAATGAGCAAAAGAAAGCTGAAGTAGCTACATTAACATCACACAAAACAAATACTGAAAGGAGTATTACTAGAGACAAAGGATATTTCATGATGATAAAAGAATGCATACACCAGGAAGATCATAAATGTTCATGTGCCTAATAATAGTGCCGCAAAATACATGAAGCAAAATTTGACAAAAAGAAAGGGAGAATGGACAAATCCACAATCACAGGTGGAGATTGCAAGCCTCTCTTCAGTAATTTGTACCAATAGAAGTACCAATAGAAGCAGAAAAGGTATAACAGTTCTAAACGACACTATCAACCATCCTAACCTAACCAACCATTTACAGAATATCATACCAAACAATGGCAGAATCCAATTCTTTTTCAAGTGCACATGAAACATTCCCCAAGGTAGACCATAAAACAAGTTTCTCTTGTTTCAAAAGATTAAAATCTTACAGACTATATTCTCTAACCACAATAGAATTCAATTGGAAATCGATAACAATAAGACAACTAGGAAAACATGAAATATTTGGAAATTAAAAAATACACTTCTAAATAACCCAAGGGACAAAGAAGAAATCATGAGGAAAAAAAGGGGAATATTTTGAACTGAAAAGTAGTAAAAACACAATGTATCAAAATTCGTGTCATGCAGCTAAAGCAATGCTTAGATGGAAATTTATAACTTAATACAATTGTACCAGAAAAGAAGAAAGATCTAAAACCAACTATTTAAGTTTCTACCTTAAGAAGCCAGAAATAGAAGAGCAAATGAAAGTCAAAATAAATTGAAGGAGGAAATTAATAAAGACTGAAACTTTCACATATTGCCAGCAGGAAGATAAAACAATGCAGCCACTTTGGACAAGTTTGGCAGTTTCTTACAAAGTTACTCATACATACTTATCATAAGATTCAGCAATTCCATAAGTAAGTATTTATCCAAGGAAAATGAAAACATGTCCACACACACACAAAAAAAAGACTTTAATACAGAAATGTTCTTAACCACTTTATCTTTAATAGCCAAAAAAGCTGGAAACAACCCAAATGTTCATCAACAGAATGAGAAAACAAATTGTGGTATACTCATACAATGAAATACACAACTCAGCAAAAAAAAAGGAAAAAAAGCTAGTTATACAAATAACAACATGAATGCATCTCAAAACATTACACTAAGTGGAAGAAGCCAGGCACAAAAGTATGGTATCATACATACCATTTGATTCCATTTATATGAAATTCTAGGAAAGGTAAAACTAGTTTAGAGAGACAGAAAGCAGATCAGTATGGGCCTGGGGTTGAGAGTGACGGGCAAGGGACTGTAAAGTGCCATGAGGAAACGTTTGGGGGTCATGAGAATGTTCTGTATGTTGATTGTGGTGATCTCTATCACTTAATTAAATATGATAGATATAAATGGTTTCATATTATTTATTTAATTTATTATACAATGTATTCCTGAAAGACTAAAGCAGTAAATATGTTAAATCAGAAAACAAAAAGAGAATATTTATCAAAACACAGAAATTTCTGAGCTAAAAAAATCAACTTGTATGACTGAATAACCAATTAAAAGTACAAAAAGTTAATATTTTAATTATACAAAGAACGCATTCAAATTGACCAGGAAAAAAAAAAACAAAAATGATACATGGGCAAAGATGGGAATACACAATTTACAAACTAAAATTAAAAAATTCAACCCATATGGAAATTAAGGAAATACAAGTATTTTTAACTCCATAAAGTAAAGAAAAAAAAGGTAATGCTATCAAGAATATAGTACAACTGGTTATCAGAATATATTGCTGATGGCAGATTGCTACAAACTTTGTAAAATTTTTTATTAATTATATTTTTAAAAGCATTAAAACGTACCTTTTGATCCAGTAAACCCATTTCTAAGACTCTATCCTAAGAAAATAATTTTTTTAAAGTAGCTTTACCAAAAAGATGCTCATTGCAATGCTATTTATAGTAGTAAAATACTAGAATAATTAAGTAACTTATGGTTTATTCATCTGACAAAATAATATGTAGCCATTAAAACTGATTCCTACAAAGCTTATGTAAGCATAAAGAAAACCACTTAAAGCTGACATAAAATTTGTACGTGTACTGTTCATTACCAATGTAATTTAGAAAGATCTTTAAAGACACTCTTAAAAATATATATACAAAACCAAAACTGATTCTGCCAGCATTTGTGTTGGGGGAGTAGGGATTATGGGTGACTTTTCTTTTCTCTATATATCTAAACTCTGGTGTAGTTATAATTCTTTTAGGTATATTTGCTGAAAAACTCAGGACAGACACTTACTCAGCACGGTCGGTCTCTATACTACTATTGTTCTTCCCACCACGAGCTGCAGCCATGAACATGCAGTTGATGATGACAGTGCAAATGATGAACATGCTGAATAATGTGACCAGCATCCGTTAAGGCAGGTACATTGCAGGACGGCATGCAGCCTAAGACGGGGATTTTTATTTAAGCGATTTAGTAGAGGAGTGCACCCTGGAGTTGGAAAAAGGGAAAAAAAAAAGGAGGAGGCCAGCAAGGCTGGGTTCTCAGTGGAGTGTGAGCCCGAGCCCATAGGGAGCACCGGAGTACAAATTATATTGCAGAGCTGCCCCGCCTGGAAGCAAAGAACCACCTTTTGTGAGTCTCAGACAGTTGGACATGTGGAAGGCCTCTGCTAGTGCTGTGTGGTGTGAGCAGGGCCTGGCCCCTGCTCTGGGATCCTGGGGCCTCGAAGCTGCCAAGTGAAAGGCAGGTGATGTTTCAGTGAGGTAGGTGGTTTGGAAGTGGTAGAGTGGAAGGGCATTGCTGAGCTTTGGGGGCAGCCAGGAGGCGCTAAAAAAATGAGCTATTTCTACTCAACAAACATGGGAACACCCTGGGGCTCTGCTCGTGCACTTTTCCCATGACCTGGACTTAGTAAAATATGCAACAAAAGGATATGAATGCACCGAGATTCTAATGGCTAAACTTCGGATTGAATTGAAAGGCCCAAAAATGAATAAGGCGCGCTTGGCACTGAAGCGATAGATTGTTCTCTTTTTGTTCAACACCATAAATGTCTGCAAAAGAACAAACACAATGGGAATTACATGTAGTGATTAAACAATATTCATCATGAGTTCATTTAGAGAAAATTCAGTGGGACCATTGGAGAGCTGTCACTCTGAAGTCTGAAGTACCTTCTGACCAGCCAACACAGTGACTCTGGAAACCAACAGATGTCCCCGTGTGGCCCGGGTCTCACTCAGAGCCCCAAGATAAGTGTAGAGCTGTGGATTGTTCACTCAGTAGAATACTATGGAGGCCCAGAGATGGAGCACAATGGGCCCTGCAAATAAAAAAATAGGGGTGAAGAGTAATAATTGGAGAAACAAAGCTCTTTATATTGTACTCCATGGTATGTATTTACGCAGGCAAGAACTAGAAGAGAACTTGAAAAGATGAAAATGAATTGAACAGTCACATTCAGCAGCTTATTTTAAATTATTTTGATTACTAACGAAAACTTCGTAATGAATCTTAGAATAGTCAGGGACCTAGAGAGTCCATATAGTTATGCTTCAGCAGTTCTACATGATATAGTCTGCCAATCAATTCTAACTTTGAGGATCTTCAATAAAAAGTCATCAAAGTTTCCAGACCTGCTCTCTCTCCAGTTCCCCCCATGGACATAGGGGCAAATCTGCCTATGGTTCTCAGCTGGCAGAAGAAGCCCTACAGAAGGCATCTGGAAAGACATGTGGGTGTTTCTGCTTGCTTGTCACAATGACTGGAGGCTCTACTGGCTTTCGTGGGTAAGTCCATAGATGCCAAAACCAGGACAGACCTGCCAAATGCTGCACTGTCCCCTACCAAGTGCTCAGTCGGGCCCCATTGAAGAACACTGAACTTGTGCCCGCTTCCTCCTAGCACATCTTCCTGGGCTCTGGGAAGGAAGCAGGCCCTGGACAACAGTTTTCACTCACAGGCTTCTAACTTTCACCCCAGATCTCCCTTTTTCCATTGAAGTTTAATAGAGCTGTCTTTTTCTGTGTCCTTAAGGCTGTTAGCTACAAAAGCCTTCACAGAACAAGGGTCATTCCTGTCTCCCTGGGTCACTGTTCCTTTCAGATTTGCAAAAAGTACTACTTGACATGCAATCTGGCATGTTCTCAGACAGGAAAGATAGGCCTTGTCATCAAGGTCCAAGATAGCAGGCCTTGTCACCAAGGTCCAAGTACCAGGACTTCAGCCACTGCCAACCATCACCCTTCACTCACTGAGTCGCTGGAGCTGACTCGTATCTGCTGACCACTAGGCTGCAGGGACACATGTAGGCTAGGATATTTTCTGCTGCTTCCATAACAAAATGAAATGGGCCACAGGGTTCTTTAAAAACCATGAGCTCAGGAGCCTGAGACCCACCTTGGGGATTCTGTGCCCTTTCTTTGGATAGAAAGACAATTTTAGGGCACAGAGTAAACCTTTCCTTGAGGCAGGTCACTCCAAATTAACAGGTGGCATTAAATGGCTCTGTTTCTGTGCCCTTTGATTTTGATATTTTATTCATGTCTCCTCTGACTGCTTTAAAATTTTCAACTAATAGTGTTGTTAACAACACTTGCCAGGGTTTTAATGATTAAAATGATAGGTACCAGCTCCTTCTGTCTGCTTGCTGACACATTT